TATATATAAATGGGAAGTTTGGGGATGATCCAGAAATTTTAAAAACCTTAAACGGTAGTGGCATGGTAGCATGCATCTATCTGGAAAGCAACTCAACCCATCTAGTTTCTTTCACAAAAGTTTTTTTTATTGATTTTTCAAAACAAAAAAGGGGCAACCTAAGTATACAAAAATGAGACCAATAGGCTGACACAGCAGCCATAATGGAAAACCAGAAGTATAAGCATGTAAACAATAAGGCATTGTTATGAATCCTAAAACAAAGTACTGCCTAAGCGGAAAAGTGAAGAAAGGGATGGGTAGGTGTTGAAGTAAGGTCCCAAATGGACCAGCTAGGATCATCCATTATCTGTCTGGCGGCTACCTCATGCTGATGCAGTTAGTCCACAAGGTCTCCTAATTCATCCAACACAGAAACTTTGGAAAGGGACCCAGTTCTCAGGCAGTAGTGGTCCAGACAAAACCAGTGTCAGTAGTTAACCCAATAACAGGTGTTAGAGGAATGGGGCATAATTGTAATAGGAGGAAGAAAGAAGGCAATAACGCCAAAGCGAAGCAGTTGACCCATGTAATTTCTACATATAATGTATACATTTTATCATTGAACTACATGTTAGGAAATTTTATAGTTTTTAGGAGTGCAGCAAAACAGATTCTAGTATCGGTGTCAGTCGCAAGTATTTGGGCGAATACTCGCCCAAATGCTCCCGATGCCTATCCTGATACCAAAATTTCAAAGATCAGGAAGCCAGGCGGCGAGTCATTACAAACTGCCCAGCTTCCTGATTGGCTGGGAAGATGGCTCCATGCTCCCTCGTCACCAGGTGACGAGGAAGCATGGAGTCGGCTTCCTGGCCAATCAGGAAGCGGGGGGGGGGGGGGGGGGGGGGGGGGAGCAGGTAATGACTCACCACCTGGCTTCCTAATTGGCCAGCTTCCCAACCAATCAGCTGGGCAACTAGTCATTACACGCCACCCAGCTTCCTGATTGGCCAGAAAGCCAAAAGCTCGTCACCTGGTAACGAGGGAGCATGAACACGGCTTCCCGGCTAATCTGGAAGCTAGGCGGCCAGTCATTACACGCCGCTGGGTCTCCTTAGTGGAACTTATCGGTACTCGATACCGAAAAACCAGTATTAGTGCATCCCTTATAGTTTTTTCAAGTTTTGTTTGTGCAGGTCTATACTTTAGGATTTCTGTTGCTTTTCTAAGCTTGAGAATCCCAGGTCAAAGTTAATGTTCATGTTACATGTGTATTCTTTTTTTTTCCAGCGAATATTTTTCTGAAATTATTCACAAAAATGTAAAAAGTGGCTGCATTTGTCGGGTATATTGCTTTTTAGCCATTAAGACAAACCTCTTAATAATGTATCAAAAATAACAGAACTAGGGATGCACCGATACCGATACAAGCATCGGTATCGGCCGCGATACCGAGTATTTGCATGACGGAACCCATTTTGTTTTGGGTACAATGTGTAGTGTTTTGATCACTTAAATCATCAAATAATTGTAGAAATGACTGTGTGTGTTAAAGTTGTTTAAGCATCATGGGCATTTCATAGTTTTTCATCCACCTTCATTCACAATTAACCTTAATTATAAAAAAAAAGGGTGATAAAGAGAAAAACATCTTTTCTTTATCATCCATTGAGGGACACAGGAAGATGGTGATTCTTAGACATTTAAGTTAGACTGCTGCCTTTAAAATGTTTGGACACTAGCAAAGCGAAAAAATGTAAAACCATTCCCCAAATAGCCCCGCCTGCTTCAAGCCAGGCCTGCTTCAGTTCTAGCTAATGTCCTAGGTTTGGACAACTTTTCCTCAGTGCTGCTAAGAAAAATTTTAACTATATTTTTATTAGACGTTTTATTAGATATTCTTCAATTAAGACTTTCTCTACCTCATGGATATTTGAAAAAAATTTAAATGCTGCTTGAAGTAGTCTCTACACACTAGCTATCGGGCTGATGTATCCTCAGCAAAAGCTTTGGAGGCCAAACCCCCCGCTGGATTGAAGATTGCAGGGATAAACTTGAATGTGATCTTTGGACACTTGCCTCTGCTTGTGATGTTTTTTAGACTTTTGTGTTAGCCACAGAGTGCTCTCTAGGTCTAGAGCTGTGGCACAGGCTCTGGTTTGACCCAGTCTCTGAAGACTCACGCTTGTGAGTAAGCTAATGGTCATGGTGAGGGTAACCTGGAATGTAACCTTCAAGGACTGGGCTCTGCATTCTGGCACTTTCCAGACATCTGTGAACTGTTAGCAGTAGAATGATTTCCAAGTCCAGAGCCTCGACAAAGCCTCTGGTGTGACCCAATCTCTGAAGACTCGCATAGTGAGTAGGGTTGGTTGGGCTGAAGCACTGGAGCTACTTTACAGTTGTACCATTTTATGCCATTTTACATTTTCTGCCACCACCATTTTGTAACTGTGCTGTCATCCGCTAGGTGACGTGTGTGTGCATGCGTGCTTTCTGCATTCTTCCTCCTACCCTTTTCAGCCTAAAGCAAGCAACTTTTGCTGCTGCTCCTGCCTTCACAAAGATTTATGGATCCACCATTCTCTGGTCTCAATCCATTGCCTTCCTTCTGTGACTTGGTCACCTCCCACCGTGTGTATGAGCCTCCCCAGAATTAGCTTTCAGGGTTTGTGTTACTGTTTGCTGAGCATTGCAGCACTTCTCTTAATAGACATAAAAAGGACAGTCCCACTGCAATGGGTGATCGCAGCCTATACGTCTCCGTTGTGGATATAGGTGATTTCTCTGTATCTCCAAAAAGATCCGATGCTGGCAATATGGATCCTGGGACCCCTAATGCTATGGAGTCTTCCTCATTGAAGTTTTCTATAGCTCCATAGCAGGAAGCTGAAAACTTTACTATCCACTTCAGATTTGTATTATCGTTTCATGAAAAATTATTTCAGCAGTCCCATTCTGATGGTAGTAAACCTCCAGCACCAAGTGTGCCTGAGGTCCCTATCCCTATCAGATTCAGACTCGCAGCCTTTTCCTAAAGAGACCCTATGCAAAGAGAAAATTCACTTAGGTTATTGAATGAGGTGAAATTGGGCTGTCTTAAATAGTCAAACATGTGCAAACAAAATTCCTGTTTTTTTTTTTTGTTTTTTTTTTAGTACGAGGCTCCATAGCCTCGTGCTATGTAGCTATTTTTCAAAATTATTCCTTGCACATGATTTGGTATTATTTGAAAAGGTAATTTTCTGTTTCACATCATTCACTTACATAAGTAAACATTGACTGTGTAAAGTGAAAATTCACTTTGGGGGCTCTTGCACATGGACATCTGTGGCAATACAACATAAATTATTGAGTATTTTCCCTGCCTGGGAGCCACAGGTGCTGCATCCAGCCTCCCTTAAGGAGCCCGTACACCTATCGATTATCGGTCGGAAATTTTCCACGAATAGTCTTTTGACCGATAATCGATCAGTTGATGGGAAACCAACGATTTTTTTTTTTACTGTACTCCTCTCCGTATTTTCTCGAAGGGCGAGGCTGGAAAACTTTTTTTGAATCATACAAAAATCGATGGATTAGTGGCGTTTTCGTACAAAAAAAATCGCAACTAGAACACTGTATATGCGCAAACAAAAATTTGTTATATCGATCGCTAAAATTCGGTGAGTTAGTATTGCTAACAAATGATTTTCGTAATCGACATTCATCTGTGCATTATGGGGTATTCGAGCGGAAAACGAACGAGGGTTCGACGATGGCACGAAAAAATTCAAAAGGCAATCGGAGAGTGTATGGACACCATTAGAAATCAATGACTGTACACTAGTTGACACCGAACACGTGTAAACACATATGCATACGAATGTACAACCCCGAGGGTAGACAGTCTATGTTTGGGGTTGTGCCCTGTACACATAAACATGCTTACACAAGTCCAGAGTACAGCCCTTGACTTCTCAGGGAGGCTGGTCACAGCACCTGTGACATTACCCAACAATACATTATTTAAAAAAATATATTTTCCTTCAGGGATCATATCTGTCATATCTGTTCATTTTATCACAACTTGGTAAATCAACCTTAAAAAAGGTGCACTTCCACAATTCAAGTTTTCTTTGTGTTGGTTTGTGGTTAGTTGGGCAGTTAGTCACCATGATATAGTGGAGGAGTGGAAACAAATAATTAATGAGTTAGTCGGGCTCATGAGCTGGTTTTCCATTGCAGGGAAAGTATATAAGAGGTTTAATTGGTTACATTTAATGCTCTTTAGTAGATCCTTATTTTAACACAATGTTCTGCTTACTAACTAGCTTTAATTTCACTTTAAAAGGAAATTAGAAGTTAAAGTATCATCTTGTGCTATGTTATAGACCTAGTAAGTTAATAAAGTTTTAAAATAAAAATGAGCACCTAAGTTTGTGAGGTTTTATGTATCATGCCTAAACATTCTGTGGAAGTAGATGTTGCATAATTTAGATTATTCCCTAAAAATTCCTTAAATTCCCTAAGCATTTTTAGTAACAGGCAGGGTTTTAGTGCCCTTTTGTATACTATATACTATTTTCAAACATTTGTTTGATTTAAACTACATCTGCCATTAAAGAGAACTGGACCAGAAGTGCTGGTCTTCTTTCTGAAAACTATAGTTGCCCACAATAAGGGTGTTCCAAATGATTGTGTTGACTTTGTCCCAAGTCAGTAATTTGGGAACCACTGAAGACCAGCCTCAGCATGACAGCCAGGGAACTAGCAGTTTCAGGAGGGATCTGCAGTGGCAGCAAAATTTTATCTGCCATGCAAGGTGTGCTTTTCAGTGGTGGTTCACAGGCCTACAAAACCTGGGGTCCTCTGATGCCTGACCTTCTCTAACATATTAAGATACAACGGGTGGAGAGAAATTGAATTACCTGAGCTCATAGGCAGAGTTTATATTTTGCAGCAAACAACATCCATTATAATACAAAGGGGCATAGCTAGATATCACAGTGCCCGATAGCAAAATGCTGTATTCTCCTCCCCCCCCGCCTTAAAAAAAAAATACCACTGAGCAACACAATGCTACAGTCATGTGGCACAGTGCCTGAGCTACAGCACATATTATTATATATGATTACTTGCAGTTAGAAAACAGTCGCTCTGTGATTGATTTCTAACCACATGTAATCATGTCACATACTATTACGTGCGGTGTGCAGGCGCTTACATGCAGTGGCTGTCACCTGATCATTAACTTGACCGGTTGACAGCTGCCGCTTGTAAACGCCAGATTAGGGATTCCTGCTGCAGAAAAATGCAAGTTCCTGACACAGGAATCCCTAATCGCACCTAGACTTACAGGTGTGAATGGAGTGGACACACACAAATATATCCCCCCAAATGCACACACATAAATAAGAGACCCATCACCTGCACAATCCCTGGTGATCCAGTGGTTGATTTAGTAAGGTCTGGTCTGGTTAGTTTTACTAACCCTTCGCTCCGGCCGAAAGGAACTAGTGTTTGCCGACACTGATGAGCAGATATGGCAGACTGTACAGCTGCGGGCTGGATAGTACCGGTTTGCGCAAAATATTTTGAGACCCCTGCACTAGAGGCTGAGACTAGGCTC